GATCCTCCAGGGAGAACTCCACAATCGGCCTCTGCAGAGAGAAAGCACAGCCGTGAGCGGGAGAGCACTCGGCCTTGAAGCCACTGGCCCCGGGCTCCTTTCCAGTCCAAAGGGAGCACAGCCAGAGCCTTGGCCTGCAAACATGACTGGGGACCCCGCTTTCGAACCCCTGCACTTCAGCTTCCGCTGATCCTCCAGGGAGAACTCCACAATCGGCCTCTGCAGAGAGAAAGCACAGCCGTGAGCGGGAGAGCACTCAGCCTTGAAGCCACTGGCCCCGGGCTCCTTTCCAGTCCAAAGGGAGCCCGGCCAGAGCCTGCAAACATGACTGGGGACCCCGCTTTCGAACCCCTGCAAACACCTCTGGCAGGACGAGGACTGGAGAAGTCACTGGGCTGGGAACGGATGCAGGAAAGGGCCCCGGAAGGATTCCGACACCTCTGCCCGGTGGCCTCCTGACCCCCACCTCCCACCCAGGTGAACAAAAACGGGGCCCCTGTCAGCACCTGCTCCCCACACCTTGGTTTTGTCCAGAAAGGCCACAACGGCTGAACCTGGAAACTCTTGGAACGGGAAGGCCGCTGGACGGAGGTTCTCCCTGCCAGAGAGACCGCCAGCTGCTGCACGGCTCCTGCCTGGGCCGCCTCCCTCAGGGACCCACCCCTGCCCTGCCTGGAAGGGGCCCCCACCTTTTGATCACCAAAGATCTGGGGGTTGTTGTTCAGGTGGCGCAGGGCAGCCAGCGCCTGCTCGTGCTCCTGAAACTCCACAAAGGCGTAGCCCAGAGACTGGCCCCGCCCCTTCAGGTCGCGCATCACCCGGCACTGCGGAGAGAAGAGAAGGAAGCCGTCACACCCCCAGGCGCTCTCACGGGCTCCTCCCGAGGCGGGGGATGCCCGTTTCATGACGTCTGGACCCCAAGCACTACTCCTATCTCCCAGGATGGGGGTGGAAGGTGGCTAACACGTAACTGACATGATACGCGAGGCCTCTCCACGTCCATTTTGCCACGAGAGCAGAAAACGCCAGCCTCTCCCTTTGCTTTCTCTTCAAAACAAGAGAGAAATGGGACGGGGTGGTTTTTGGTTTTTGTGGGGTTTTTTTTGCCAATGCAAATTCTGTGCCCCAGCCGAGTTCCAAGGAGGGGAAGTGAGAAAAGGCGGCTCTAGAGGTTCACGCACCCCTCCCTGGGCAGCCCAGATGTCAACAGAGATCCTCTCTCTGCACAGCCCAAGAGACCTTGGAAGCTGTCCAGGGATGGAAGGAACTGGGACTGCCCCCCCTGCAGGGACGTGCCGGGCATGGGACTGGCGGGGGGGCCCCTAATGCCACACTCCTTTGCTACCCTTCTTTTACTCGTCTGCTCCTCAGGGTTGGCACAAGCAGGACGCCCCGAGCAGAGGAAACCGTGGAGGGGGAACCTCAGCAAAGGATCCGCCCTTTTCTGGACAACTTTCTGGCACTGTGACAACCGCAGAATCACTGAATTCTGGCTGCCCCTTTGAATGCAGCCACACTTCTAGGTTTTTAGGACGACACAGGAAAAAACCCAGCAACATCTGGACAGTCTTGGGTGGTGGGAAGAGGAGAGAAGGAAAGCCCCAGGGATAGTGATGGAGCACTATGGCGCACCACTCGTTTCTTTTACTCTAGAACGTCCCTCCGGAAGGGTCCCCGCCACCACCTGGGCTCCTCCCTGGGGGGATGGGGCCCTCCGAGTGGACACAGCAGCCATGCTTGGATCCTCTGTGAAAGAGGGCAGGTAGGGGGCAGGGGTTTAACCCCCTGGAATGAAAAATGGGCTCTGCTTCACCTGCTGCCCCGGCTGCAGCCACAAGGTGGCACTGGTGGATCTTCACCAGCCCGCCCGCCTGCTTGCCTGCCTGCCCTAGCCAAGGAGAAGGGCCAAGGGACGCCTGGCACCGCCTTAACCCGGGCACCCTCTCGCCCTGTCTTGTGGAAAGCGACCGAGGGAACCTTCTTGGCTACTCCAAGACTCACCTCCTTGAGCCGCGCGCCAGGCGTGCCTTCCGCGGCCTGCAGCATCACCTTCCGGAGCCTCACATCGTCCACACTCTTGGGCAGGTTGTGGACACAGAGCCTCGTGCGCGACACGAAAATGTTCTGGTCCTTTAGCTTCTGCCTCTTGAGCTCCTCAAACTGGAGGAAGACAGGAAGGGGCGTCATGCGCCAGAGCAGACAGGGAAGGACGGGAGGAAATAAACACATTGGGGGGGGGAACCCTTCAGCACCACCCCCCCGAGGCCCCGCTGGTGGAGTGCAGTTTCCGTCATAGGCCCACTTGTGTGGCAAGCGCTTTCTTCTGAGTCACTTCCCAGGCCCTTCTTACAGGCATGGCTCTCCCTTCGCCTACTTCCTCACCCGCAAACCACCCCCCTCTGCCCAAGGCGACGCTCCAGCCTCTTCCTCCCTCCCTCTGCCTTAGCTATGGACAAACGGAGGACCTGCTCAAACACATGCGCTTGGGCACCACCCTGTTCTCATCCCCATCCCAACCCCCACCCCCGGGAAGAGAGATGGGGAGATGCTTTTAAGCCAAGCCACCAACACCCCTACGGCTCCTGCTACCACCACCGCCCCAGGCCACCAAGCGGGGCTCATCCTGACCTGACGCCACTGTGACAGCCAATGCCCACGCCCTCCAGCTAGGTAAGACCACAGCCCTCCTTTCTTCTCCAAAAGAGGGGCCACTTAAGAAGGAAACGACTCAGCAAGATCTAAACGCTGGCCCCTGAACTGGCCACAACCCCGCCATGCCTAGGGGGCAGATTTTGTTCCAGGAACCCATGGCATTCGCATGGCTTTGCCCCCTTTGCACCAACCCTGAGCACACAGCCTGACTAACGGCAGCAACAGAGCTGTGACTGAGTGACCAGGGCCTTCTGGTCCACAGGGAAAGGGAAGCCTCATGCTGTACCAACAGCCCTCAAAGAGGGCCTTTAGCTTTGCAGCCTCCACCAGAGAAGGTCGGGCTGACTAAATGAAGCTTCTAGCCAAAGGTCTTTCTGGAGCTTTCGGTTTGTTCACACCACCCTGACCTAAAAGCCCTCCAGTGCCCAGTCTGAGAAAGGACCTTACGCGACTCAGTGCCCGGCTTGCAAACGGCATTTTAGCTCTCCCTTAAATGGCTCTGGATTTTGCACCCGATCCCACAGCTTCCACAAGAGGAAGCCCAACGCCGTGGCCCTCAGCTGCCTGTCCTGATGCTGGTACGCTCCCTCCGACGCCCAAGGCCGAATAGGCTCTGCACCCCACCCCATTTGAACAGCTGGGAAGGATAAGGGGGAGGAGGAGACCACGGCACCCCCACCCCACAGGCAGCCTTCCTGGGGCATTTGGTAAGCCGCTCTGGGGAGAGAAGGCTGGGCCAGAGAAGCCCCCTCGGTCTGTTCCAACACCGTTCTCCTGACGTCCTGAAGAAGAGCTGAATTTGGAACCAGCCCTGAGCAGAAGGGCAAGAATATCATGAAGAGACAGAGGTGGAGAGAGAACACCTCCATGGCAGGTCCAGGACCTTGTGTGTGTGTGTGTGTAAGGGGTGAGGCGGCCCCAGGGAGAGTCAGGCAAGGCAGGCTCCCGGAACGGCTGCAAACTCACCCGTGCCCTCTTGGCCAGGTCGGTCTCGCTCACCCCCTCGGCAGCTTTGGTGCCAGCTCGGATCACTGCATATTAAAAACAAAACGGCTGAAGTACATGGAAAACCTAAAGGACTCGGAGCAGAAAGGAGATCTGGTCCTCGAGGAGAAGCCAGCGCTCTGCCTGTGGGGCCCTCAGAGCTGCCTTGGTGTTAGGAACTGGAATAAAAAGAGGAATTACCCATACAAGCCACCAGGCAGGACAAAGAAGTATCGCTGACAGATGACCAACACGCATTTTGAAGGCCTGGCTTGGGTAAATGAAAATCTTTACCCTTCCCATCTGCTTGGCAAACCTAAGACCTGCACAGGGTGGGCTAGACGGGGCCTGGGCCAGAACTGAGCAGGCCCCACCACCTCCAATCCCCCGCCTGTCCCGGTACAATTCTTGTCTTGAAATTCTCTGGAAGACGGAGAATGCAAAAGCAAGGTCTACCTTTGCTAAGCCAGAGACTTACAGCATCGCCTTGCTTCCTTTTTTTTGTCAGTGCTTTTTGTTGCAGGGAGGGGAACGGAGTGTGTGGTTGCCATGGAAGCGATCCCAGAGGGGGTGACCATGGTGACCCCACAGGGATAAGATGGTGGGCATCACTGCAGTCCCTTGGAGGCGCCACCCGCAAGCAGGGAGAGCAGGAAAGCGAGTCTCCCTCAAGGACCCTTCGTGGAGGGAGTCTGCCTAGAGAGCCCGTCACAGGAAGAGGCAGAGGTGGGCTGAGCTGAAGACCTAGCCTGGCAACAAGGGCTTCTCACCAGTCCCTCGGCCCCCGCAGACCCCCACCATGCCGTCCCTCCAGTTTCCACTGGCCATCCGGCAAGGCACAAGTCCCTGGGGGTGGCTGACCCACACCCCCGCCCTTCGTCTCCACCCCTTCCTTCCCAGAGGCAGTTTGTGGGTCGCTTACAGCCCTCGGCCAAGCCACTCACAGCCTTCCCGCGCCAGGTAGAGGTTCCGGGTGCCGGTGGGTTTCTTCACTTTCTGGCTCCGCAGTCGCTGGGCTTCTTCTCGGCTGACGGCCAGGTCCACCCGCAGGCGGCGGCCCCCCAGGAACAGCCCTGCCCCCTGCCGAGGAAGAGGCGCACCATGAGCAAGGCTGCCTCCGTGAGGGCCAGGAAGGGGAGGGAGCCCTGGGAAGTCCCGCACCCTCGCTTCTGGAGGGGCCAGCCCTCCCCACACTGGCCCCCGAGCAGCCTTCCTTCACCTGGCTCTCGTCTTGAGCCGCCTGGAGACACCGCTGAGCTGCCTCCTGGGTCAGGAACTGGGCGAAGGCACAGCCTGATGGGAGAAAGAAGAGGCAGAACGGTGGAACGGAGGCATCGGGGGGCTGGGGCTGGGGCTGGGTGTGTGCGTGCGTCTCGGAAGGCAAAGCCTACCGGTTACAACCCGTGCTGCGTGAACCGTGTCTGCTTCTGGCAAGCCACGAAGCCAAGGAGTGTGGAAAAGGCAGCCCAAGGGACGAAGCTGCAAGAGCGGGCACCGGCCTGCCACAGCGCTGAGTCCAAGGCAGGGAGGCAGAAGGACCGCAGCTGAGCGTTACTGCCTCCGTGACCAACCCTGAGATGTGCATCCCTGTGATTCTGGCTCAGCCCCTGGGTTCCTCAAAGTTATGTCGCAGGTTCTGGTGGCTCAGGGCGCGCACGCGCGCACGCATGCACGCACGCACACACACTCGCACCCCACCACCACCACCACCGCCGCCGCCAGCCCTGCTACCTTTGGAGTGCTCCGTCTCAGGGTGCAGCACAATCCGCACGTACTTGAGGTCTCCAAAGGGCTCCAGCAGCGCTCCCAGCTCCTCCTCTTCGGTATCGAAGGACAAGTTCCTGCGGAGAAGCGGAGAAGAAGGTGGGAAGGAGGCCTCCGGCCAGCCCGACGGCCACGTGCACGGATGACCGGAGGGGGGACCTGAGGCAGGCCCAGCCGCAGCTGGGAGGGCTCTTCTGCAGCCCAGGAGCACCTAAGGTGCCCCCTTAGCAACAGGACGGCCAAGCGCTGGGCTCCACCCCAGCAGTCGGAATGAATACAGACGTGGGGCTGGGGCCGAGGCATCGACTGACAGCGCCAGGGAAAGCTCAGCCCACTGGAAGCACCTGCTGCTGCCACTGCCCCTGTGAGCAACACAGCCCAAGAGAGGGAAAAGGCACGCCCTGGGCCCTGCTCTCCCCACTGGGAGCCAAGCCACTGCCCTGCTGGGGTTTGGCTGGGCCCCCTTCCCCTTAAAGCACGCCCTGGGCCCTGCTCTCCCCACTGGCTGGGCCCCCTTCCCCTTAGTCCGCCGGCATGCAGAGCCTGAGACCTACCTGATGAAGACAGTTCTGCCTTCCGTGACATCTGAAGGAAGCTTCTTTCGGTCCTTCTTCGGCTTCAATGGGGTTGTAGCCTCTGAAATGGGAATGACGTGGGGGTGGGGACATGGTCGTCCATCAGGACTTCCTCTGAAGGGCCGCCCCCACCGCCACCCGCTGAGCAGAGGCACACTCTGCGTCCACTGCCAAAGCCCTCCCCCCCCCCCCGCTGAGAAATGGAGGCCACTTCCTGGCTGAGCAAGATCACGCCCGAAGCCTAGTTACAGGGAGAGGCTCCGAGTCTGTCCTGAGACAGAGGTTCCACTTGGAGAGCCCTCTCCCACCCCATGACCCCCCAAAGCCCTCCAGACTGTCACGTAACGGAGACCTCCTGGGGAGGGAGGTGCCACCCACTGAATGGCTTTAAGAAAACAGCCCAGCAAGGGGTCCGTCCCTGGCTGTGGGCACTGAAACCTCAAGAGGAGGACCTCCAAAGTCCAGAGACGGAGTCTCTAACTCCCAGAGCTAAGCAGCCGCAGGGCAGACAAAAAGGGAAACTCGGCCAGCCGCTGCCGGAAACAGGAGGCCGAGATAAAGAGGGCTCTGGCCTCATTGGCCTGGGCTTCTCCTCTGCTCTTCTCAAACAGATGTGGCCCCTCCCTCCTCCACTGGCAGCACCCAGCTGCCCCCCCCACCCAGGAAATGTGAGACCAACCTTCTTGCTCCTCTTCAGAGCCCTCCTCGCTATCTCCTTCATCGTCGTCGTCATCATCATCATCATCATCATCATCATCGTCGTCATCAGAACTCCGGGTCTTGCCAGGCTCCTCCTCCTCTTCCTCGCCCTCACCAGAGCTCTCTGTCTTGCTCCCTGCTTCCTCCTCCTCCTCACTATCCACAGGTAACACCTCAGAGGACCTGTAGGTGGGATCAGAGAAGCAGAGAAAGAGAATCATAGAATAACAGAGTTAGGAGGGGGCCTCTAAAGGCCATCGAGTCCAACCCCCTGCTCAAGGCAGGAATCCAAGTCAAGGCAGATCGGGCAGAGGGCGGTCTAAATGTTTCTTGAATGCCTCCCAGCGTTGGAGCGCTCATCACCTCTTCAGGTCATCGCTTGCACTAACTGTTAAGATGTTTTTCCTTATAGCCAACTCAAATCTGGCTTCCTGTAACTTGAGCCCATGGTTGCATGTCCTGCATTCTGGGATAATTGACAATATATCTTGCCCAGCCTCTGTAAAACAGACTTTCAAGTCTTTGAAAAGTGTCATCATCATCACCCCTCTGTCTTTTTTTCTCTAGGCTAAACCTGCCCAATTCTTTCAGCCTTTCCCCATAAGGCTTGGCTTCCAGCCCCCTGATCATCCTTGTCGCCCCCCTCTGAACTTGTTCCAATTTGTTAGCATCCTTTTTGAAGTGTGGTGTCCAGAACTGGACACAATTCTCAAGGTGAGGCCTAACCAGTGATGAATAGAGAGGGAACAAGCACCCTATGGGGATTTGGAGACTGTACTTCTGTTAATGCATCCTAAAATAACATTAACCTTTTTTGTAGCCACATCACACGGTTGGCTTATATTTAGCGTGTGATCTACAACAACTCCAAGATCCTTCTCGCTCGTAGTTTTGCTGAGGCAGGGATCCCCCATCTTGAAACTGTGCAATTGGTTTCTTTTTCTGACGAGCAGGACTTTGCACTGATCCCTGTTGAATTTCATTCTGTTGTTTTTCCGCCCAGGGCTCCAGCCTATCAGAATCCTTTCAAATATCGTTTCTGTCTCCCAGGGCATGAGCTATTCCACTCACTTATTCCACTCCTCATCAACAGCAGGCAACCATAACCCAGTTCTAAAGCTTTTCCACTGTCTCTAGGAGGCCCTGGGCCAGATGCCTCCCTGATTTCGTCCAAGTGAGAAACCCAGCCTTGCTGCTGCTTCTTGTCCCACAGGAAGCCAGAAGCCTTTCTCCGCAGAGAGTGTAGCCCAGCTTCGGCTAGCCAGCTGGCTTCCTTGATCACAGCAAAGGGTGCTTTACCCAGGTCCCCTGGGCCACTTACCTGCCCTGCTTTCTTTGCTGAGCAGGCACCTGTGTTTCCTCTTTGTCATCTTCATCATCATCATCACCATCATCATGAGCATCACCATCACTGATCTGGCCCTTCTGCTGCGCTTTACTTAGTTTCTTCTCCTGGATTCCTGGAGGAGATCACAATGTAAGGAGAGAATGTCCCTGCCTAACTCACCTCCTTCAGATAACCCTGTTCCTGCCCCCTCCATGAGAATCTGGCCCTTTGGGAGTGACAGTGGAAAAGCCACTCCAGGAACAGCTGTGCAAACGGGTCTCTGGTTGGCCCAGAGACACCGTCAACCAGTTCCTGAAGCCAAGACCAAGCCCTGCAACTCGGTCACAGAGGCTGAGCCTGCCCGGGGCCCTGAACCTCAAGTGCATGACCATGCCCTCTCACTCTTGTATGGTTTCCATACAAGAGTGAGAGGGTTAAAGAGAAGCCTCTGAGGGCCCTCTTAATTATCTCTGCAATCAGGATCAGGCTTCTTTGCCCTCCTTCCGCTGCAAGGAGAGGACAGAAGGCATTCAACTCTGGGCTTACAAGGTCTTAGTAAAAATTCCCCGACCGCAGGATTCCCAGCTCCCAGCACTTACCTGCAGGAGATGCTGCAGCCTGCATTGCCTGGTACTTCTCCCGGGCCACAGCCCAGTCCACAGCCACGGGACGCTCTGCAAAAGAAGAGAAGGGCAACTCTGAGACCAGATCTTAGTATGCATGAGTCCTAGTGGCAGGTAAATCATGGGCATCCATAAGCAGAAACCTAGGAGAGAAGTTCCTACAGACATGTAAGCCCACTGCCTGAACACCTGACATTCTACTCGAACACGCACTCTGTCGTATGAGGATTTTTATAAAAAAGCTACATGCTTTCAAGCTTAGCTGGGCAGGTACAGAAATCAGATGCTTAGTTTACAACAAATACACCCCGAAGCTGAGAACCTCTGGTGACTGAATCCAGTGTTCAGGTGAAACTAAGCAATGCATTCGTGTTTGGGAAACAGAGCAAACTCTTTGTGTGAAGCAGAACTTCTTAGTCGAGGTTTGCCGGTCATCAGTCACCCCCTCATGCCATTCTCTAAACATCCCCAACACAAGAGGGAAGGTTTTAATGCCAAACCACCAAAATGGGTGCTTTATCGCATCATATGTTCCCTCCCTTTAAAAACCTCTCGGGCCTCACCCTTGATCTCCTTCATGTTCATCTCCTTCAGAGCCTTCCCTGCTTCCAGGACATTCTTAAACTGCACGAAGGCAAAACCTCGCATCTTTCCATCTGAAAGAGAGAACCACACACAGATGCTGTGTCTATGACTGACGTGTTGTGCAGGAGTCAAAAATTCCTCTTTGGAGCTCAATGCTGTGACACAGGAGCTCTTTTCATGAAACCAGAGTGTGAGTTTTTCACAACTTCCACCTCCGACCTATTCTCAAGGTCTGTGGAGCAAATCAGAAGGAAGGGATGAAGCCACGTGACCTAGCCATGTGACCTTTGCGAGATCAGGACCCGTCTCACTCTTGGTCTTGCAACAGGTCTTGATCACGGAATCAAAAGCAGGGGTCTCGTCCAGAACTTACAACAGTTATCACTCTAAAGGGAAACCCATGACTTGTTCATAGCTGAAAGTTATTGAGTAAACCCTGTGCTGCTCCCCCATTGGGCACAGCTACCAGACCGTTCCTGCGTTCACTGCCTACCCAGCCATACCTGGTTTCCTGGGGAGAGTTACTTCCAGCACAGTGCCAAAGGGGGAAAACACACTCTTCAGATCATCTTCTGTGCACTGTGGAGAGGAGAAAGGAGACCCAAAGCAGAACCCATTGCAGTAAATTGAGCAAATGATATCCCCAAGCCCACCTCATCTTCTGAAGAGCCCTTAGACAAAGCCAAGAAAGTGGCCCTGCTGTGTGACCTCCCTATGCTTTCCAACAGGGAACCTGAAATGATGTTCTGTAGATCCCATGACTTGATCATTTTGAGGTCTCACAACCCGTACAGAAACAACAGTACATCAGTGACAAGATAAGAAGTACATGGAATCTCAAGAAGTACCCTCACGTTTACATCCTGCAATTCCACTGCATGTACACAACAACAAGAAGACAGCACTCTCAATGCTTCAATGGGTCTACTCTGCCTTAATACTTCAGCCTGTATCCGTTCCCTCTGCCTCACCCATAAGAAGATGGGATGCTCCTCTGTCTGTGAGGCATACCTTGAAACTCAAATTACGAATTATCAGCCGGGCTTTCTTTGAGGCGCCTTTTCTCTTTGGAGGAGGCTTCTGTACTTGCTGGAGGTCCTCAGAAGCATCTGAAACAAGAGGGTTTGGATAGTAGGCCAAATGTAGTACAGCTTTGGGCCAAAGACAAGCCAGTGGATTTTCCAGGCTCCAAATTCAGCAATGGCACCATTTAGAGATTCCACCAAACCAGGTTCCAGGCCTTGCCTTACCTGCTGCTTTCTTCCCTTTCTGTCTTGGCTTTGGATTAGCAAGGGTCACGCTGATCTTGCGGTTCCCAAAGGTGGTGACCTGCTGGACGGCCCGCTGAGCATCCTCGGGCAAGGAGAATGTGACAAACCCAAATCCACGACAGGTCTCGCTACCTATCCAAAAGATATTAAGTTTTAGAGTGTGCATCAGCTGGTTTGCCAGAGAAAAGACATGACAAACAAAGCGGGGTAAAGCACAGAATTCAGGGATAAATAACATTTTCACACACCCACAACCCTCATTTAGGCACAAAACCAAGAACTGTGCAAAACACTCTAAGCATGAATTTGTCACAGAAGGATGTTCCCCACAAGCTTAAAACAAGTGATTTGAATTTATTAGTTGCATCAGAGAATAAATAAATAATCAATTTAAATACAGGTCCCTAAATGCATTTATCTTGCTCAAGATCTCACTTAAGAGAAATCGCGATGAAACCCTCAGACCATTCTCCTACTCAGTTATTGGACCAGCAAAGGGGGAAGGGCAGGACTTGGTCTTTCCTGCACTGAATGCAAACTGAGAACTGGGCAAAAGCAGTTCCCCTAGATTACAGCAAAAGATGATGATCTTGCCTATAAAGAGGCAGAAACTATGGGGAAAGTCAACAAGCAGCAAGGGAAGTCCTCCGTTGTATGTAACACACGCACACCCCAGTCTCAAAGATTAAAGGAGACACGTGAGCATAAACATCAGGCTGGGCTTTAGAGATCAACATGTTGTAGAACCACCGCCACAGGGGCAGAAGCCCGGACTCCTCTTGCTGCATTTGCTCCCTGCAGGCTATCAGCCATTAACCCAGATTCACGGGGGCGACCTGCTGTGTGAAAGCCACCCCAGGGGCTGCAAGGGGGCTCCGTTTAGTACCATCACAGACGCCCAGAGACCTGCGGGCATGGGGCTCTGCCTGAGGGAAGAGGAGGCCTCCACGTTTCCCCCCTCTGGGAAGAGAGCTGGAGCCGAAAGACCGGCCAGAGCAGCAAAGGCGCCGAAGGGGGTGAAAGGCCATGTCCCCCAAAGACCCCCCCCCGATCGGCCTGGGAACCAAGGGGCCGGGGAACTGTCCCCTGTCAACCCAGGGATCCCTCCACCTCTCCCGGGGCTGATGGGGGAAGCACCATCCCCTTCCCGGAGATCCAGG